AACTGCATTTTGTCAGTTCATACCATTCAAGGGACCATTTTACATAAATGCAACAGCAGGAACAGATCCAAATTCTACAAACACTGTCTGTACAGCCCAGCCCTATTGCATACTGTTTTGGCTTCATAGCAAAAACGTTTAGTCAACAGTTATGACCAGAATGCTTTAAAGCTCCCCTCTCCTGACTATACGTGCTTAGTCCTTTGTAGAACCATGAATTTGGAAAGCTGTAATTTTAATCCTACCCTAGAGGACATACTATACATTTTTCCTCCTTTCCTCTGGCCACTGGAATTAATGGTAATGATTCATGGACACAGAGCCACTAACAGTTTCACAAAAATAGCATCCCTGCTGTAAATTATTTTTTTATAGGACCACAGTGATGTTAAGACAGTAATTTCCTGAATCTACCTAGGAAATCATTCTCATTCTCAGAGTTTAGGTTTCCTTCTTTTCCTTCCCTTACGCTTTCTGAACTTTGAATAACCTTTTAGTAGTACTTATACATCTTTTCATCTATGCAAGATATGTCACATCTTCTCAGATACATAGTTATTTAGTCTCATTACAGTGTTTCCATGGTGGTTGTATTGTCTTCAGGGGATCTCAATGTTTCGTTTCAAGATTCCAAGCTATGCACTAGTGATAGTGAAAATATTATCAAGGGCTGTCAAAGGAGTCATCTATAGCTATTTATAATCCATTATCACAGTAGCAAATCTTAAATTTAGCAACTGTGGATAAAATAAACTCTTTTCATATGGTCTTGATTCCACTTTAAATGACATTGGTATAAATCGGGAAATCAACTGGATTGACTGGAATTATGGTGCATGAAATCAAGGAATCTCCTATTAAAATAAAACCTATTATAGCATTTCACATAACTAAGCATCTTTCTGGGTTAAATGGTTACATTGAAGTGGGAGGAACATAGAAGTAAGAATGGCAGATCAATATGGGGTTCCTATTCTCTACAGTAAAATCCAGTAAAACTAGATCTGAATTTTCATAAAACTCCCTTATCAAAAATGCCTTTGGATATACAACACTAAAAATGCCATTGTGAACATGCTGATAAAACAGGTATGGTATTAGTGAAGCTACTCAAGACAAAAGATGTCAGAAAGATAATTCCTTTCCTGCGGGATGAAAATAATGAGCTCATAAATACATCTTAGATGTAGCCAATGCTTTAAAAGTGAGGAGCATAAATTGTTTTCCATGAGTGACTGAGTTGTAGGGAGAAATTATTGCATATCCTCTTATTCCTGAAGAACTGACAAAACAAACAGAGAGGTACCCAAGCCTAGCCAAATTTAAAACCATTTTTTTTCATTTGCTGGCTTTGTAGTTGTTCTTGTTTTGGAGGGAGGTTGGTTTGCCATTCAGAGCTATTATTCTATATGTTAATCTTTTCAAAGATAGAGCTCCCTTCAGGAAACCAGAATCCATGGAATTTATTAAAGCGTATGACTCTTCCAGCAGTACCAGTAACAATCATAGCTACAGCTGCTAATCTCTCCTCTCACAAAAATCTGTTACCAAATCATAATTTCTGGTACCAAAACTTAGAGTTTAGCCATACCATTTAATTTATCTGTGCTAAACATATTATACTCTCAGAAGACCACATTTTAATCCCTATCTGAAACTAGAGAATTGGACTTCGTGGGAATTTTTTCCTAGAAATAGGCTACAAAGTGCCAGCAGAGTAATTCTCTGGGTCCTGCTACAGCCATCCATTCCATCCTTTGGTAGCAGATTTTGTCAAGAGTCATAAACACATAGAGCATACATACATGTGTGTACATGTCTGTATACTTTTCATGCACACAAAAAGCACTCAGCTGCCAAACCTCAAATGTGGCACACAACATGATCAAAAATTAAAAAGAGGTAAAAAACCCAAAGTCATTAATGGAACACTTTTGGAAGACTGGGAGAAGCATTCCCACATTATATACGTAAGTCTTCTTATAGTTTCATCATCGGAATTATTTATTTATGATATAAAAATGTTTCCATAACATAAGCCAGATCAGATTTGTATAGGATCAAGGTAACTCTGAAACAAACCTGAAGCATCCTCTGACAGGAAAGACTTAAAAGGTCTTTCTTGACCTCCTCATGCCTCAAGATTTGTTAGGTTTTTATTTTACTTTTATATTACTTACCAGGAAAAGGATGAATTTTATTCACAGTTATGGTTCTTCTTGCATGTCTAAAACTCTTTCTTCTTAGAATAGTAGAAACTGCTGCTGCTAGGTGTTTACAATCTGTTTTAAACAAAATGTGTTATCCTCAACTATAGAATTACATGTGGCACTGATTAGACAGAAAGCTGGTAAACACCTTATTCTTAAACACCTACCATGAAAAAACAGGAAGGTTTTGAAATAAGGTGATGAGGAAAACCTAGGGCCAGATGTTTTATATTTTCCTGAACGAAATTTTCTGGAAATTCCATTCAGGTTTGCCCCTTTCAAATTATTCCTTCTCTCCTCTATACCAAAGGTTATCAAAGAAGTCCATGTTCCAGTACAGGTTCAGACTCACAATGCTGACAGTGGAATAGCAAGGATGGAGTGTACTGGCATCCTAGGAAGCTGACAGATTATTTGCAAGTGTGGGGTGTTCATCTTTGGAAGCACAGTTTGAGAGCAAGCTCTCCACCACCCAGAGAAAGAACTGGGTTGAACAACCTCTGACTGTCCTCAGCACCCAGTTCATAAACTCCTCAGTCCTTCTGTCCTTTAATACTGTGGTCTTGGTGGGGTTATTGCAGGATTGTGCAACTGTTATGGTTAGCCCTGTTCTAACAACGACAGCAGTTCACGGCTCAGCCACCTTCTGATGGCAGGCTTGCTCCAATTCTATATAACAGAATTGATTTTTATCTTTTTCTTCTGAGAACACTCGAAAACTTCATCTTTAAGGAATTCATTAAATTAGCATTATTTAGGTCATGATTTTTTTACGAATAGCCAGTGGAGATGTACTGTGCTGAAGCCCTAAGTGTGCGCTGTTAACAGTTAATGTCAAAGGAAGCTCTGGAAGTGGTCGTAAGACAAGAGTGGAAGGGAAAAGGCAAAAGGACTAATTTCTAGTTTAGCTCCTTTGTCATGGATCGGTAGTAACCTCCACCGAGTTTATTTGGCTATTTTATTTTATGCACTCGTGGAATAACTTCATTAATGTTTCAGAGATTCTCAAAGCCTGCCTAGCAGAATGTCTTGGAAGGTCTCAAGAGGAAATGAATAATTCCATATTTCTTAATAACTTTCAGTAGTGCTCAGAAATTAAGATAAAAACTACTAACTGAATTATGACTGTAAAAATTCTTAGCAGCTGTTTTAAGCGCATAGTAATATTCTGCTGTGTTCCTTGGGCAGCACTGAAAAAAAGCAGTATGTAGACTTGCAATTAAAGATGGCATTGTAATATACACACATAAGGAATACAACACTTAAATATAATTTTTATGTGGTTGTCTTTTTGACAGTAACATATTGATATTGTTTATAATGTTATATATTGTAAACTTAACTAATAAAACCACTGCTCCTCCATTAACAGAAAATGTATTCTAGAAGCAAATCAGTAATTAGAAACCTCAAAAGGGCATGTTTTCGTCCCTTGTGTCCATGCCAATTCTGAAAAAAACTGCATTTAATAGAAAACTGATCTTTAAGAATAAAGGCAGTAAATCATTAATCATCACTACTGATAGTTCTTCATTAAAAATGGGATGTTATGACTCAAAGCATAGAAAATCATATGACATTTATAGGTAGCTTTGAAATTACAAATAACAGTCTTTAAAATTAAAGCATTTAATAGCCCACTTATAAAGACCTAATTTACACTTTGTGAGATTTTAATATACATAAAATAGGTCTCAGAATTTGGATCTAGCAATAAGTAAAATATCATGTATTTTAACCAAGATAATCTTGTAAGGAGTTTCTCTAATCATTTGGCGGGGGAGGGGGGGCACAGATTTGCCATTTTAAGCAACTATTTTGCTTATTCATTAAAAATCCATGCATAAAATATTTACATTATACAAAAAAATCACAGAAACATTTTGTGTGTGGGCACTCTTCTTCCTTCTGTTCAGTTATGATTAAAGCTAGACTCCTATTGCTTTTTCGTTACAAAACCGGCTGTGGATACAGGAAGGGATGATCAGGGGAATGGATATGGCTCATCACTTTTTTATTGCCCCTGTAACCAAGGTCTCCATTCGGCAGCTCTGGACTACAAGGGGAATGGACATCTGCGTGGTAATAGCAACTAAATGCTGGTTCTCTGGGGGCATTCTGCCCACTCAAGCCTGATGCTGGCAGAAAGTCTCAGGAAATTGCTGTGAAAAGCATCTAAGAGCTATTATCTCAGGTAACAGGTTAAGTAACACTCTTTTCACACTGATGGAGGGGACCGTGCTCTCTGCACCACCTACCTATGACTTAGGATGAAAAACAAAGTCCAGCAGCTGACAAGCTTTCTGCATTGTTTTTGTGCAGAGGACTTTATCTTGATCTCCTGTTCAGGGTACTCCTACACTTTTATTCTTGCTTTCTTCATTGTATACTGCTAGAAGAAATACTGTAAATCCAGATTTCAGCCTGTATCCTAAGTGAATTGCATAGGAAGAGCCTGTGTTGGCTGGTGAAGACATTCACTAGAAACAATTGTTTCAGTCTGAACTAAGGGCAAGTTCTTCCATAGCAAAGTTTTAATCACTTGTAATAGTCAATAGTGCTGATTCAGAAATCACAGCACTATTTTCTTTGCTGAAATAACAGCAAAGAGAAGAAGTGTGATCTGGGATTATTTCAGCTCGGGCATTAAGAAGGCACTGTTTGGTTGACCTGTACAGGATTATATCACTGCTGAATTTAGATAACCAGTTTCCAGGACAGACAGCTGAGTGCACATCTCCTCATATCTATCCTGTAATTTTTCTTGACCGTGACCTGGATGAATCATCTTCAGGAAGGAAAGGGTATTTTAGTCTACTTATATTGGTCATTTGCATTTCTGCTTAAGACATTCAACAAGGTTCAACTGTAATTGTTTTATCTACTGGAATCAGTCTGAAACCAAAGTTCACAACAATAAGGATCAGAGGCCACCAAGCATCTGTCAAAACCCCCGTATTTCATTCACCGTCAACAAGCTTGGATTTGCATCCACAGTCCAGAGGTGAGAGGTGATAGTATTAACCATCTGAGTATTTCAGTCCCTCTTTAGGAAGCTTTTACCATATTACAATTAAAATATTGGTGTCTGAAACACATTAATAAACAACAGCTTTGTTATTGTAAATTAATACAATTTTCATTGCATAGAAATTTAAATTCATGTAGATTAACTTTTTGTTACTTACAGTTTTGTTCGTTGTCTTGGATTATTTTGTAGATTACAATTGAAACAGTAACCACAAAAACCACTGGAATCATAGTGAGCCATATGATCTTCGTCATACACATTGGATCTGTCCAAAATTTAGAAGAGATAAAATGAAGCAGGAAATCACTGTCAGAAGAAAGCAGAATAATCTATTTTAGTAGGGTTTTGGAACATGCCTATCCCCACAGATGAAAATTTAAAGCAAAAGAGAAGATTAGGCCTTTTTCTATCAGCCACCTTTGTTGTTTGAAATTGTTTCTTATCTAGAATTTAGCTTCACTTTTACCTGTATCCATCTCCCCACATTTGAAATAGTTATATGTAGCTAAGTGAATGAAAAGTTTTTCTGTTTGTGTAAACTGTTATATGCAACTCAGCCAGGAACAAAATGTTTCAAAGATCAACATTTCTATTTAGGGTAGAACAAGTGTAATATATCCCCTCTTTGTTTGGAGGGAGCACAGAAGGAAATGGTCCCCTGTCCAACACTGACCTGTACTGGCATTCTCAACCTTCTGGTTGACCTTCATATACAGGAGAAGGTAAGATTCTACATAGAGAAATTTTCTTATCAAAAAGTGAGGAAATGCTACCAACAGGACCCCTCTGGGGAATTCTTTTAACCAAAACTGACTAGGGGGAGAGCCAGTGTGGGACTGGGTGTAGGAGGTAGGCTGCTCTTTCGGACAACAGCTGCTGCAGAAACGCACCCACGTTCCACAGGGAATTAGTTCAGTAACTAGTACAAGCCAGGACTATATACCACAGAGAAAGGATGTGGGAACTTTCCTCCCTGGTTGTTTGAAAGACCTTTCAAACTTCTTTGGCAGCTGCATGTTAATGCATACCTTAGCATTGTCAAATAACTATTTTTAAAAAACAACTACGTTACTATGACTCATATAAAATCAAATTACTTACAGACTATAGCCAAACCACTGTTTTCCTTTCCTTGACTTAGAACAGTATAATTAGACCTACATCAACTTCCCTCGTGTATCTTCTCCACTAAGAAGTCATGAGGTAACTGCCAATAACCCCATGGCTCTTTGAGGTAAGCATAGCTCATCCCTCCCAATTCAGAACTAAAAATATCTTTTATACAGTCATTCAGGCTCCTTTCAAGCAGAGTACTCTACCCATCTTTAGTGGCTTGTAATGACTTGTGTATCAGCCTTGCCTAGTCAGGGCCCTGAGCACCCCTCCAGCTTTGTTTTGAAGCAAATAGAAAAAAGATGCATTGTTAATTTTTATTGTTAATTCGAGATAACTACTTCCCAGGTAAATCACCATTAGCAAAGGGCGGTTAGCTCATAGTTTTGACACAAGTTAGCAGGGCAAGTTACAAACTATACTCCTCTCATAGCTAGACCTACTTATTTAAAAAAAAAAACACAAACAAATAAGCTGCGCTCTCTTCTCTAGGATTTTACCTGGACTTTTTTAACATAGGTTTAGCCAATTCCAAAACACGTCATTTTTTTCCAGCAAAGCTACAGCATAAACTGTATTTGCCATACAAAACCAAATGAATGTAATAATTCAGCAATTCCCAGATGGCAAGCGTTGCATATAGACATGCTGGAAGCCCTGACCATGGTCAGGCAATCAGCCAAAAAACTCCTCCGGCACAAAGAGAAATTTAAAAAGCTGACATGCTGTCCTCTGGGAAAACTAAGCCTAGTTCAGCTGAAGATTTCTCTTTCAAGTGTACTGCAGTAAGGCTGTATAGTAGGATATTGCAGTACAACATTAAGAAAAGTCAAACCTGTCTCCTGGTTCTTCTGTCCCTGAAGCTAACAGGAATTTTTTCATTTACCTTAAAGACAACAGGGTTATGCCATTATGGGGGACGGGAGAGGAAAAAACTAATTCCAGCTTTTGTCATACATGCAATGTGTAAGTCATCGCTAAGTGAAAAAATGTACAGACACTTAGTTTGCTGTGTTGCTTCTAGGAAAGAAAAAGCCAGAGCTAAACCTGCTTTAAATCACTATGAAAACTGTCAGTTGCCTACTAAAGACAGTCTTTTACTAAGGGATGATCAAAATTGTATTATTTTCTTGTGTAATACTTAAATACTTTCAAATAGTTGCTGAAAGCAGAGAACTGCCTACTGGAGATTTTCTGCAAGATTCATATTGTTTCTGGTTTGATTTCCATTCTGATTCTCCTTTGTAACTTACATTCCACATAAGACTTCAGTTGCAGTGAAATATTTATACAGTCATTTTGGTCTTCCATCATTGCCACTAGACAGGAATGATTTAGGTATTCTTCAGCTGCATTTCTTCCTCCAACTATGGAATTGTTGATGTGGACTTCCAGCAGGTAGTAAGTATTATGCTCTACTTCTTCTTTCTCAGAAACTGTAGTGAAATTAAAATATTTATAAAAATAAATAACAACTTTTGTTTTCACTTCGAGTGAGCCTTTTGCTTTTGGAACTAAAAATTAAAACTGTTATATAACGTGGTAGACAAAGAGGCGACTCTCAGAAAGAACAACAAAAGAAGTTCTCTGTCTCATGTGCAAAAACATACACTAGGCTTTTATGTTACTGACTATGATAAAATGGACAAAAGGATACCACGTAAAGTTATTCTGAACAGATCTGAAGAGTATTGATTATACAAAATATATTTCCCCTGCAAATTATAGCCCCTTTTTTGCTTTACTACCAGCTTCAGAGCTTTTCAGTATTTTGTTGTTTTGTTGTCTGTTATCAAAGGTAACAGAGACAAAAATCAGGCTATGAAAAAAATAAAAACCAAGTAAAAGCCACATCGTGACAGCGATTTGAAGTGTACATATATCCTGTCTGCTATCAGTTGCGGAAGGTTCTTGTTTCACTTCAGACCACACAAGCTGTGAGATTTGCACAATGTTAACAACAAACATAGGCAGGTGAGACATTATCAAAAGTATAAGAGTTGCACAGGTATAACTGAGAACAGAGTTTGTCCACATATTTTTTGTTTTGTTATTTTCCATACTTGTTCAGACAGCCATTTTGTAATAAAAAAATGATGCATTTGGAAAATAACTGCATTTCTTACATTCAGGACTTGGTCTGTTGCCCCTGTTGCTGACAATGGTAGGAAAGCAAAAGTCGGAGGCATCCTCTTCCCCAAAAGTTTCCAGATACTTTTCAAGTGTATATGGCAGAGAAGGAATATGCTGCTACTGCTCTAAAAAGATATGGATGTTGCTGAACTCCTCTCTGTATTGCTGTGCCAGTCCTTATTCAGTGCTGACTTCTATGAAATATGCAAGGCCATTTCTCATACTACACAGTTGTGGATATCATAGACTACAAGCACAAAAATGGTTATTTCTTGTGTAGCTGCCATCTGAATAGTTACCACCTTTGAATTAATTCTTCAGACACTTGTGCACAACCTATCTTCATACAATATCAGCAATCAACATGTAGAGTTCCACAACAGCATTTAAGAGCAGATTCAGCGTGAAAACTGATCAGAAACTAGAACTCCTTAAAAATAAATTTTAGAAAATTTAGCAAGATTAAAAGAATAAAGATGGGGATAGAAGAGCATTCATAAAAGCCAGGTGGCAGAGGTCAAATTTGCAACAGAAATATTCCAGGTGGCTGCTGGATAAGGCACCCTTCTCACAGCACCCTCCTTCCAGACCAACACAAAACCCCCCAAAGAGAATGACTCACACACACACACACACACAGAGCCCATTTTATACAACATCCTCAAAGAAAAGAAATCAGCATTTTGCTACAAACTTGTTTCACTGACAGCCAGGAATGAATGGCACTGAGAATCTCGCATAGAACCTGCACTTTTTAGCTATGCAAAGACAAGCTAAGAAAATCATTGTTCATAGATTTGCAAAGACCATAGAGAACCAGGTGCATATTATAATTTTCTTATAACTACCAAATGAAAACATGTTTTTTATGTTGTAATTAACTACTTCAAAATTAAGTATTTCTCTTCCTCTACTTACTTTTTTTAGCTACTGACCCCAATCCTTGATGATCATCATTCACATCTCTCTTGGATTCACACTCTGTGTGTTTACTATGGGACTGCTCCCTCCTGGAGGACTGGCAAATGCATGGAATATTTTGGAAATTGTAGTGGTTTACAACAGCTTTCAGTAAAATAGTCTGGTTTTCTCTTCTTTGTTGCAGCGATCTTTTGCAAGAATTGTTAAAAGTGCAAAGGGGGAAAGTGGTGTTTTTTGATGAACAGGTATCCATGCATGATACAATTACAGTGTTAGCTGTAAAAAGATAGAGCACTGTATTAGCAAGACAGTCATATGGGACACATGGACAAATACATGCATGGAAGCATCTTGTAACAGATACTTTAACTATCTTACAATTAAATGCACTTTCTTTCTTGAGGGTTCTGGCAGCATCAACGAGTGAGAGAAAGCAAGCACAGAGTCTTCCCATAACCTTGACGCTGGTTTTTATTGCTGAATTGTATGAAATCTCTTGCAATACTAACTTGAATTTGTGGCAGTATCTAGTCACATTCCTGTTTCAAAGCTGCTCCAATTTGATTGTGCTTGAAAAGAAGATGAAAGCACTCATGTTTGGAGGGGGAAACTAGCTCTGGAACCGTGCAGTTGCAATGCACCAGTGCAATTATGTTGTAAGATAGCTATAATCAGAACAAAAACTTTCTTTCCAATGACATTGAAACCACACAGTGAAAATAAACAGAAACGCTGCTGAATCCTCTGACCACACCCTTCACGCTCTCTTACATTCAGTCAACAAACACGAATCTTCATTATGACCATTGGTTTTGGTATTCACAGTCAAATTTCAGGATCAAATTACCATAGCTAGAGTACATTAATGCAGTTCTGGCAAGTAGAAAAAAACACATAGAATTCATTATTAATGAGTGTTATTTTAGCTGTCTTCCACATTAAAGTAGGGCTTTACTGTACAAATCATGCATTTTTATTTGAGTTAACTTTGAACTATTTTTTCAACATGAACAAAGTCTAAGAATAAAAAACTTCTGGAACCCCAATATGAAATATGTATTTATGAATACAAATAACCACTTCCCAGAGTTGATGCAGCACTAATCTAGTTTTGTAGCTGAGCTTCCAATTTTAGTAGTACCCTTGCATCTCTATGAAGAGGAAATTTTGCATCTAACTCCCATTATGAGTAATTGGAGTAATATGTTCATAAATCCTTATGTAGAGAGAAAAACATAGCCTTTAATTGCTCCAGTGCTCAGCTGCAATCTGACAGCTTCAACAGGCCACTTGTGCTCACATCGCAGCAGGCTGACCTCAGAAACAGTTCAGCTAAGGATTTCAGACAGGATACAGAAATAAAATCCAAAATCCAATGCCAAAGTTAATTATCTTCACTTTACTAACACTACATCGGAGAGTCATAAACTCCTTATAAAACGTAATAAATTGAAATGGAAGATATACATCCTCTGCAGGTAAGAAAATAATTAATTTTAATTAAAAAAGGAAAAATATCAGACAAGCAGACAAAACTTAGGGCTTGATCTTTCCCTGAGGCATGTCAAAACATTTTCCTCAAAATGCTTACGATCTGACCCATGCAACTTGGAGTGGAGCAGGGTCTTGAGGTTGAATTCCTCCAGCTGAAGGAGGCGTTTTGAGCAGAGCTTCTCTGTGGAGACGAGCCAGGAGCAGAAATTGAATGCTTATTCTGTTCCCATGACAAGGCGCGTGTGCATCTGGGCAACCAGTCCAAAACCACCGCTACAGCTCTCAACGTCAACTAATGGTAATTCCCTACCATACCCCTTCCATCAAGAAATTTGTACACGTACTTGGGAATCCTCTGCCTGTACTGTGACAGCAGTCTATGTACAGCACTATGAAGTCCATTTTGGACTTCACACATGGCTAACCAGTCTCCACAGCTGCCTGAGAGCCATGTTGTAGATGTAAAAGGCCTGTTATCTGAGAGTGGAAAAAGTTTGAATGCTGTCCTGCTAGGGAGGGTGCTTACCATCCTCTTGAAAGATCTCTACTGAGAAAGCCATTCAAATTATGATCTAGAATCAATAAACTGTACTTTCTTCCAGCTCACAAGACTGTGGACTTTCTAGGGAGGGATATATACTGTTGAACACTGTGAGTAGGGCTGCAGAAAGACTAGGCTTTCCCAAGTGGATTACATGGCAGAGAGCCATGCCCACAAGTGGCTTGCTCCTTACTGCACAACTGGGAAGCACCCTCCCAAATATAAGTATCACTAGAAACGTGGGAAGGGTTCTGTGAAATCTGAACACAGACAGCCTGAAGAGTTAAGAGAATCAGAGATGAAATCATGCAAAGTATCTCTAGAAAACTGCTCTATATTCAAAGATTTCTAACCTGCATGCTTAATGTTAGGAATTTCTGTGATTATGAAATTCTTTTATTAAGCCTCTATTTACAGGGTGGTTTTCCACAGAAAATCCAATTCCATTAAAATGAAATTATTCACTCATTTGATGTTTGACAGTAAGGTCAATGTTTTCTGGTAATAGCCATGTCATTGTTTATCGGCATAGTCTATGCTAGCAAATACTCTGATTACTTCTGCATGGAGGTAAACCATTAATTATTCCAGCATCTTAAACTCACTTATCAATTTTATGACAGTCAAAGCTTATGACAGCTTACCAAGTTTGTTAGTTTATAAACTACAAAAATCTATAAATGATATTCTAGTTACTGTCATGTCTATTCTTTGTGGTTAATGGAAATAAAAATGTAAATATAAGTAACCTAATCTGGATATATTTTTATATTCTTTTTTTTTTTCAGAAAATCATGCTTCATAAATAATTTATTTCATGACACCAGGGAATACACATCATTTGTCAAAGGGATGCTTTTTATTACAACATTTATCTATTCAAAAGCTTGCTTAGGAATGGATGTGACAAAACTATTTTAATATTAATTTATTTATGGATTTTTAAGAAAGCACTGCATGCATAACTTCCACACATATATTTTGCATTCATCAGAAATCCAGTATCAACCTTTAGGATCACCGAGATGTATTTGGGATTTATGTTAAAAGATTTGTTTCACTCGGTTACACCCATTCCACTGTACTTTTTGTCAGGTTACCACTGCACATCTCTTTCACAGACAGTATCACATACCAGACAAAAATTGTACCAAGTTTTATAGACATTTCAGTATAGAAACTTAAAAAAAGTTATTTTTTAAGACCTGAGTACCCGCTATAAAAGAACATACACATCTTAACCACTCTCTTCATGATGAAGATAGAAGTACAGTTGCATGGAAATTTTACAATGTACATAAATTAATGACAAACTCCTTTCAAATTACCGCATATAATTAACTCTGTTGGTTAAAAATCTAACAAAAAAAAATGGATATGCTTTGCAAAGTCCATATGAGTACAGCATCCTAACCATCACTTTTAGAAAAGCACGTGCCAACTTGTCAACTGTAATCAGACTTCAAAGTAAATAAAAGGCTATTTTAAAAGCTGATCACTCACCTTCATGGATTTTGAAATATTCAGGTAAACATAAAATAAACATGGTAATTACTCCTAGTGCTAGTCTGAAGAGTTCTGATTTTCTCAAAAGCAAGCACATGTCACTGAAGCACTCCCATCTAGCACAGTGGTGGTAACTTCCTTCCTGGCTTAGCTTTTAACTTAGTGCAGGCTTTATGCAAAATAACGTCTATTCATTTCCTTTTTCTGTATGACTTTTCTTTTTACTACTTGTTATGTCAAGTTGTAGAGAGCCAAGTTCTGTTCTTATATCGGCATAGACGGGGACGATTCAAATGAATACGCTGAAGACAAAACTCATGTACCATGATGAAAATAAGAGAAAAATCATGCATAGAAACTATTTTACTCATTTGGGGTAGTTTTGGTTTAGGAACATCACCCCCTAATGGCCACTTTCTTATACCTTCTAAACAGTAAATGAATCATCTTTGTGAAGGAATTTTGTTCTCATTTGGCCAAGAAGATTTTTAAAAAATGAGTCAGACACCCATTATAAAAATGAGCCAGAAACACATGCATCAGATACGGGGATTTTTTTGTACATATGCACTGGGGCCAGGAGGAAGATAATTTTATGCAATAAAGAATCTTTAAGACTTTAATAGACTATTAATTTGATCTTTACAACTGAAAGTTTTTGATCTGCCAAATAAGTGATGTACTAAGTAGAATGAACTGAATGTGAGATGTTCATACTAGAGCCATTAGTATTCCTATACATTGTAGTCACAATTTTTCAGCTAAACTTTCCAGTTAAAAAAGTCTTTCATTCTGACAACCACCATGATATTCCATAAATTCTTCCTGCAGATTAGACTGCAAAGACTATTTCTGAAAAGTTCCGAATAAAAGTACTCTGAATAACGCATATGTAAAAACAAACAGTTTGACCCTAATACAGACTATATACAGTATGAAGGATTTAATGAATTCAGAAAGCTCTCTTCTGATACAGTATTTTCCCCACAACCCATTAAATATTGAGTACTACCAAAATGAAGCAGTGCTGTTGAAGTTAAAATAAGAAATGTCCTACAAATCTGAAATGCCCTTCTTGTCATCTAGTTATCTCAGAAAATGAGTAAGCCAGGTGGAAGCAAATACCCTATTCATTCTATAGAAAGACTCTTAATGGAGCTGTAGCGAATATAAATTTGTTAATACTCTATTTTAAATGTAGCACTTTTAAGCAATGAAAGAAATGAAACCAAAGCAAAACAAACTGATTTTTTTGACAGTATGGTACAACAGAAGTAATAAGTATACAAAAAATCATAGGTACGAATTTAAAAAGTAAAATACACCCACTGCACAATTCATATTTGTCATCTGTTAGCAAATTAGCTCTACTTTGTGAGACACTGCACTGCCCTTTAAGTATCTTCCACATCAGTTATATATATTTTCCTCTTTTCAAGGTTGTACGGTGTTCACTCATCCTTTCTGCCCAGAAGCAATGGAGAAAATACTGGAGGACTTTGTCAAGTAATATCTGTATCTGTCCCTTTCTGATACATTCAGACTTTCATCGTTGTTGGTAGTGCCCAAGGTCAGAATAGAGTAGAAATTGCCCTACAGGACCCACACCCAAGTTCAGCCTGATACAATGATATACGTGGAATATGTTCAGTTTCCAATTCTACAGAAAAAGGTTTCCAAGAACTCTTGCAGTAAGCAGACAGGGAATATCTATTTTAGGGCTATTTTGATGGCACATTTTAGTTTCATTTCTGAGTTCAGGAGGCCCACGTATGATCTGTCCACACATCCCAGGGACACCGTAAGCTTCAGACACTATTACCTGTAGCAGCCGTGCGTGTGTGTGGCCTGACCTGCCAACTGGAGTGAAAACCATCAGTTTTCCTCCCTGGGGGCATGCTTCTCTCCACATAGCTAATAATTTTTACACAGCTGGAACAATCAGTACCTTTGAAAACCGTATCCTTCAGCCAAATTGAGTCAAAATTGGCTAAATCATTTAAAGTCAGCTGGGATGAGAACTGGCAGACGCACAAAGCGCACAGGCACGTAGGCCACCTCTCCTTGCGGAATCAGGCAAAGCGAGCAGTATATACCTCACTACTGCATCAACCTCGTGCCGCCACACCTCGGCAATGATCTCGCATGCCCTTAAATCAGTTTTATCGGTCGGGGGCACATCTGACTGTCACCCAGTCTATTAACTCGGAAAATTATTCTACCTTTGGATGGCAGAGGTGACCAGTAAGGCGCTGCATAACAAGGCCGGCAAAGGCTGGGGCACGTGCTGCCCGTTAGACGGCGAGTACGGGCTGCCTCAGCACCCCGGGGTGCCAGGGGGCTGCGGGGACGTTAACGGTTGCGCCGCGTGTCGCTGCAGATTCATTTCAGTTAAGCGGGGGAACGGGAAGTTACGGAAATGCTTAGCTTTGTGGTTTCAGACAGGCGAG